TGCCAGGCACGTGCGCATGCATTCCAAAATCCTAAAAGGAGAATGGAGGAGTGGGGATTGTGACACGACCATCGTCCCTTGGGGTTGATTTCTCATTTTCTGTCTCTCTGTCTCTGTCTCTTCAGCGAGCACATGTACCCTCTAACAAAAATCTTTTTTTAAAAATGTCTAGCCTGATGGTATGGTCAACAGTAAACTGAACTGCAGTGCTGGGAGTCATATGTCTGACTGGGGTTGGATCCCCAAGTGAGTTAAACATGCTGGTGTGTACCCATGATCTTGATGAGCCGGAAGGCCAGATAAGGGTGGGACCCTGTGAGGTGGCTTCTCTACCTCTTCCTCTCTCTCTCTCTCTCTCTTCTCTCTCTCTCTCTCTCTGTGTGTGTGTGTGTGTGTGTGTGTGTGTGTCTTTCTTATGCACATACATACAATGCCTATCATAAAATAAACTTTATAAAGTTTCCTATCCTGCCTTTAAGGTATCTGTGGAAACTCGCAGAGAAGGAGATCAACAAATCTATTTCAAGCTTTGTATATTTATTATTGTGAAAAGGTAAGGAGCCAGGATAGCAGCAAAGGCCATTATCCACATCATATGTGATGAAATCTTCATCCACAGGAGCTTTTACTTGCCCTTTCCTCTCCTTTCCCGTAGCTACCTGCCAAAGAGAAACCCTGATTATCTCTCACCTAGCCTAATTCAAATGTCTTCCTTCTTAGGTCCATATCACCAGATATTCTACTCCCACTTCAAGTTCTTCTCACCTGTTTTCCTGGTAGAACAATTTTTGAAGAACTGTTATTTCCTATATTGAAAAAAAAAAATCTTGAGATTCCCTTAGTTTAGTTTTAAAAGTTTCTCCCTAGCTGTCCTCTTCTTACCTTCTATTATCCATTTTATGAATCTTCCACTCTAGCCAATAAGCCAGCTCTTCACTGTTTTCTCTAAATCACAGGCTATCGATGCATCATAGCCTGATGCCACAGGATTAAGTAGGCTAGCTGGACTTATTATAGCACTTTGGTTAAGAAACTAGACTTATAGAAGAAGTAGGAATAAAAAGTAACATTGAAATAAAACTGTACTACTGAGGGAAAAAAATCTCAGTTTCTCAATAATTGTGCAGAGTCACCAGTGAATGGAGAGTCCTGGTGGAATTATTCATGCAGGCACTGTTATTCAGTCAGGGGTTGTTTGTGAACCTAGAGAACAGAAGTCATCCTTTTCCATCTGCTCATTTCCAATGGAAAAAAATAATTTCTCTTTGAAAGTGGCAAACAAAATACCAACTTGGGACATCTGGTATCTGGACAGAATCAATTTCAAACAATAATCAAGCTCAATTCAGCCTGGACCATTAATATAGATGGGCTCACTGCCCAAGAATTATAGTTTTAAGAATCAAATGAAAATGAGACTTTTCCAGTGTTACAAGTGGACTGAGTTTTCAAAAACATGCTACTAAGAGCTACACAAATAAAATATTTTACTAGTGAGCATATGGTTTTATTTACTATTACTCTTTCATCCCTAAATAATTATATTCAATATTCATTTTGAAATTGGTATGAAGCCATGACAAAGAGGCCTAAGTATTTGGCAGCACAAGGCTGCACAATTTATCAATATTTGGTAAAGCAGAAACAGCATTTATAAAGACCAGATGGTCTTTGCATATAAAATGTTAAGTAATGGATAGCATTTATGCATGAATTATAAGGTGAGAAATAGGACTATGCACAATTCTCTAAGAACATGGCAGGAAAGTAATTGTCTATTCACTGCTTGACTTCTGACTCTCAGGGTCCTAAGAAACCTTCTGTTTGCTTTAAATAAATATCCAACAAAAATTACCATACAAATTATATTCTTGTTGGATATTTATATAAAGTTTTTAAATATATGAAAGTATAGTGATAGAGATACATTGGCCATGAAAAATTACCTGATCTCCTAGTTTACAGATTATAAAGTTGAAGTTCAGAAAACGTAAATGAACTGCCCAACCTTAGATCTATGGACTCCACGTCAGTATGCTTGCTCTTTTCAATAAGCATGCTTCCTCTTTAAATAGAGTGTTACTAATTACCATATTATTAATATTTGCTAAGTAGTGATAAATGATTAGGTATGAGATCAAAGACATATATGATAGCCCTTCCCCTTTCCGACCCATGACTCCCCCCAATCTGCAAGGAATGTGTGTCAAGACCCTCAGTGGATTCCTGACACCATGGTTAGTACTGAACCCTATATATAATATGCATTTTTGGTCTAATAAGTGAGACAGCCATTAAGGGACTATTATATGGGTAATATATACAGAGCAAAAACTCAGAGCAAAGGGGTGATTCATATTTCAGGCGGGATGGAGCAAGACAGCACAGAATTTCACTACATTTCCCAAAACTGTGCAATTTAAAACTTGTGAATTGTATATTTCTGCAACTTACCATTTAGCATTTTTGGACTACAGCTGACCACAGGTAACTGAAATCATTAAAGATTAAATCACAGATAAAGGGGTACTACAGTACCGGAAAAACATATACCCAATCTACTTGGTACAAAGGGTAAGTAATAAAGACCAAATGTAAGATAGAGGGCCAGCCTACATTTAAATGCAGTGAAGAGGTAAATGAAGCCGTTACATGCAATGTGGAGATAGCTGGATCCCACATGGACAACCACAGCTCAAATATTTGCCCCAGTAGCCATAAAAACACAGCAGGCACATGTGTGTGTGTGTGTGTGTGTGTGTGTGCTCAAAATTCTGATGGGATGGAATAGAGGGAAAGGAATTGCAGCATGACCCTGCACCCTTGGTGAGTTTTCAAGAGAAAAAGCAGGAAAGTTCAGGAATTTTTTTTTTTTGAGAGGTTTTTGCTATAGAGCGCGTGCACTCACCAGACAGAGAGAGACAGAGAGACAGAAAGTAAGAAATCACCCCCCAGGAGGATGACCATGCCGCAATCCCTTCTCCTCCATTCTCCTCTCGGGATCTTGGGCACGCACGCACATGCACCTGGTGTGAGTTTTAAGCCGCCGGGTCCGGGATGTGAACCATGGTCAACTATATAGGAGTCCAGAGACATAGCCATTGTGCTAACTGCTGGTCCTCAGGAATTTGTTTAAAAAGAAAGTAAGAGGGACCAGCAGTTAGTATAATGACTGTGTCGCTGAACTCCCATGTAGTCGACTGCGGTTCGAGTCCTGGACCCGGTGGCTTAAACTCACACCGGGCGCGTGTGCGTGCATGCCCAGATCCCGAGAGGAGAACGAAGGAGAAGGGATTGCGGCGTGGCCATAGGGGAAAAGGTGGCGCGGTTTGGCCATACCCCCCGCCCCAGGGGGTGATTCCTCGCTTTCTGTCTCTGTGTCTTTCTCTGTCTTTCTGGCGAGTGCACGCGCCCTGTAGGAAAAACCTCTCCAAAAAAAAAAAGTAAGATAGAAGACAGACTACCGCTTAAGCAGAAGAGTTAATGTGAGAGATGGCAATAAGCTTTTGTCATTCTTGTTGATTAAGTCAGCTATATTTCTATCCCAGATGCTCTGAAAACCAGTCAGAGCTCTAAGAAACAGATCTAATTAGTGCTATGTTTAGAGGTCAAGACTGAGTTTAATATTGGCAATGATCTAAAGTTTTCATACATAAACAAGAACAAATTTTGTGTTTTAATTGATATAATACCCATAATTATGTAAATCCTTTTCTGAAACTACAATATAATTCTGTCTAGGATTTGTAACACCAAGCCAACTTGGACAACTCTGAAGAAAAACATAAGCATGATTCATCCAAAGAGTATTCACAATCTGACTCATGATATAACCAAAAAAAAAAAAAAATCCACACCACATGTAAGAAAACTTTGACTTGGGGCCAGCAGGTGGCATGGTGATTGTGGCACTGGATTTCCACATGGTCAACCACAGTTTGAGTCCTGGACCTAGTGGCATGCTTTCTCATTCTCTCTCTCTCTCTCTCTCTCTCTCTCTCTCTCTCTGGTGAGAACATGTGCCCTATAGCAAATTAACTATAATAATAATAAAATTAAATAAATTAAAAACATGAAAAATTTTGACTTGAAGTCCTAGAGGAGGATTTTAAATGACTGAATATGTTTAAAAATTTGACTGAATATGTTTTGATAGAGAAAAACTCTCATTTATGGTCACTGATGTTAACTTTTTATACAGCTTTTATTCACTTTCAAATCCAAAATCAAATAAAAGCAATTCAAGTTTAATTTTGATACTGAAGCATTCTATCTATTACAATGCATAATTATAGATTAATAAAGCAAACATTAAATCTAAATACAAGAACCACACACATCCTCTATTTTAAATAAATACAAATATATACCATGTGTGTTCTCTTATTAATAAAACCACTATGAAATCTTAGAGACCTCCACACAAAGACATCTAAAAAAAAAATGTCTTTATTCTCTTCATTTGTGCCAAGTAAAAACAATTTAAAAAATACACAAGGAGCTTCATTTTAAAAGACAATCTTAACCTTAGATCACAACCCATGAATGGCCATTTTCAAATACAGTGTAACTAATTTCAAACCAAGAAAAGATGTCAAAACATATGCAGAAGCAGTATTCACCCAAAGAGCAGACTTGTCTAAAATTGAAAGTCAGTGACGTAGAAGGCACTACCTCTAATTATGTTGACCATCACTTGAGCAGAAGAGCATAAGGGAAAGGGGGCCAGTGGGTGACATGGTGGTTAAGGTCCTAGAATTCCCACATGGCCAACTGCAGTTAGAGTCCTGGATCTGGTGTCTTGCTTTCTCACACTCTCTGTCTTTGTCTGGCAAAACTAATGTGAAATAATAATAATAACTAAATAAATAAGTAAATAAATTTTTAAAAAAAGGAGAAATGATAAAAATTAAAGTATCTCTTCTCACTTACCGTTTAAGCCTGCTGTACCTCAGACTATAAACCTCCGGATATTACTTGAAATTATGACTTGTATTTACCTGGAATGATGAGCTCTAGTGATGTGGATAAGACACAGAAAGACTTCTGAAATACATTTCCCATGATAGGACAGCTGACAAAGAGACACTGAAACCTTAAAAAAGAGAAGGAAAAAACTTGAATATATGCTAATATTACACAAAACAAAAAGTAGAAATCTAGAAAAAAACATTTCAGGCGCTTAAACTGGCAGTGATTTATTAATGTCTGTTAAGTGGAAATTAATTCTGAATCATTCCATTAAAAAACCTGTAGAGCAGACCTCCTGGCCATCTCAACTCGTTAGAAAATATGAAACAAAATGCAAAGATATGCCTCCTTGGGCAAAACGGAAGGACAATAAATCTTAATATAAATTGCCATAGCCCAAGTATATTTGTTCTCCCAACTAACTTCCTCTCCTCACGAACAGATTAAATATAATAAAATTAGAAATGATTTGATAATCGCAGTAAAAATAAAGTAAACAGACTCATAAGTTTGACTACCTAAGAAATTAACATAGAATTCTGAGATTTGCAGGCAGGAGGTTAACTGAAGAGTTGTCTGAACATCTACAAGGGAATCAGGGAAACAGAATTAGACAGAAGAGTTTGAATTAATAAGCAAATTCAACAGATGCCCATTTAAATCTTCAGCCCTGGAGCTGAAAGGACCCTTTATAGAAGTCCTAAATTTAGGCAGTAACTGAGGCCTTGTACCCTCACATTGACCTGCCATTAGAGTTGGACTGTTCCAAAGAATGGACCATAACTCTGGGCAGGGCAGCAGCCATAGCTAAGACATTTCCAGAGAAAAACTCTGCTGTGAGTTCGTCATCAGCCAGCACCTAAAAAATGGGTGCCTTATACCTGAAGACACTCTTGTCATCCATTACACAGTTCAACATGTTTCCACAAACACCATTCTAGAAGATCAATTAGTTAGAAAACCCAAAGTCATTGAGGAGTTTAATCATTGAGGAATGATTGTACTGACAACCAAGAAAAAATAAATCTGGGGAGTTGAACCTGTTTTGGGGAACTGATTTTTCTCTAGGAATATATGTGGATTCCACAAAGATGAATAAGTGCTTAAGAAGCTACACACAGTGTTTTTGTTTGTCTGCTTGTTTTGTTTACCTTGAAGTACTAGTGAAAAACGAAACTCATACTGAGGAACACCAAGTTAGTAATGCTCAGACAGCCACCCAAGGTTTGATTTGGCCTAGAAGTAGCAAATAACCAGAAATTTTTCATTCCACAAGCAGACTGAAGGTCATCTTTAGATCAACTAAGTTTCAATTCATATATATAATCTGGTATTGATAATACCCTAGCTACCTATTCAAATCAAATATAAATCCACTGCAGAGAAAGATAACATCATATTAGGCCACGCATTTTCCTTATATTTTTTATATGTAATATTCAGGGCATATAAATGACCAGGTCCATAAAGAAACAATAAAACATAATTAAAAACTGATGAAACAGACAATATAAAGAAACATACGAACCATCCAGATAAAGCAGATATCAGAAACATACTTTAAAATGATCATCTTTAACATGGTCAAATAATTTTTTTAATAGAAATTTAGCAAAGAACTAACAGTTATATTTAACATTTAAAATCTGGAACTGAGGGGATCATAGAGTGTATTAGCAGTAAAACACCATGCTCTGCATGGAAAGGTTTAGGTCTGTATCTAGAGACCTGCCTGGGTATGCCGGGCACATATGTGTCCATAAGCTAGGCCTGGCTAAGACCAAGGGTGGATAGTAGAAACCAAATTCTGTTGGGGATGCTGTCTCTCTTGTCATGCTCTTTCCATT